GAGATAATCAGCTCTGCCATAACCCGCTTTGCGACAAATTACTTAGCTGTGAACTCCATTCGAGAATCTGAAGGTGCAATAACGAGATTGTTTACCAGTGAAGAGTGGTTAAATGACCGCCTCTCGAAGTCCAGTACCGGGCTAAAAGTGGACGGCATAGTCTCAAATAAGAGTTTTTGGTCCCGATGTTCCGGTATCGTAGAAGCTACTGGCCCTTTGGTCACGGTGTTAAGAATGGTGGATGCTGAAAAAAAAGCTACCATGGCATCCTTTATGAAGGCATCGAGAGGGTCATATCAGCTATTGGGGAGAAGTGTAGTTTTGCTAGTAAAGTGATCATGATTATAGAAAGAAGGTGGACCACCAAATTTGGACGTCCAATTAATTATGCAGGTAAATATATATTTATATCATTAGAATGTTTCATTCTAAATTATTTTTTTATGAAATTTTAAATGACATTTCTCTATCTATATATTTTCTAGGTTACTACTTCAACCCAAAAATTTTCTATTTGACACCTGAACATCCCCACAAGATTATGGAAGGGGTCAGATACATTATTGCCAGGTTGGAGAGAAGTCATCGAAACCAAGTAGCAGCAATACAAGAGGTATTATTTAATATTTGGGTAGGAACTTGATTGAGTTGTTATATTTGTGAGGAATAATGCACTAAAACGAAATATTTTGTTTTAGCTTGCTATGTATAGGGATGTTATAGGATCCTTCGGAACTAGACTTGCTAAGAATTCTCGAACTAAGATGGATCCAAGTTATCCCCTAACCAATATTTTGTTCATTCATATATTTAATCTTATGAATTGTTCTTGCCCTTTTTGCATTTTAATCCAGCTGAATGGTGGGAGATATATGGTAGTGATGCACCTCACCTAAGAGGATAGCAATCAAGGTGCTCTCGCAAACATGTTCTGTTACTGGCTGTGAGCGAAACTGAAGTACGTTCTAATGGTTGCACACTACTAGGAGGAATCGACTCGCTTCGGAGAAACTTCATAAACTAGTCTATGTTCATTACAACTTAAACCTCCGAGAGCGACAAATAAGAAGGAAGCTTGAAGACTATGGGCCGATAGACTAGGACATAATATTTGTCACAGACACAGCAGAACAATGGGTAGTAGAAGAAGAGGAGCCAATGTTGCACAAGAGAGCGTTCCTTGAGGCTATCAGTAAGGAAGATCTTGAAAAAGGTAATAAGCAGCATGAAAGAGGAAACAGCCCGCCAACATATCCACAATTCGTCGGAGATGTCGGTTATATTGCACCTAACGAGGGAGAGTAGGAAGGGGGTCTAAGGGAAAATGAGAGAGATGATGATTCTGAGGCCACCCAATCCCAGCTAAATTATTCACATATCGAGTCCCAACAACTAGAAGGTAGGGATGAGCTCGATAGTGTAGGTGAGCATGAAGGATGGACAAGCTTCGGGGACTTTGGATTAGGACCACAACAAAACACTAACACTCAGGGATTTGGGTATAGTCAGGTGCCCACTAATTTGGATGATTCGTTTTTAGAACGAGTCAATGAATTGATTGTCACGCGAATTCAATCAATGGCACCAGCGTGACCAAGATGAAGAACGACGCCGTCTGTCATTTATTTTTAGATCGTATGTTATGAATTATATGCTTTATTGTAGTCCATATACTTAATCCATGATAATTCTATGTTTATCCTTTTGTGTGATGTAAATTAAATGGTAAATAGTAGTTCATGCAGGGAAAGAACATATCAATATTCGCATATTCATGCAAAGAAATGAAAAATTCTTAATGGAGTACCCTCATTTCTTATTGAATTCCTAAAAAACAACATTTATAATGAATTTTAATAATTTTTTCGAATTTGTTTTAAGGTTTAATCTGACTGATTCAGCCGATTCCCAATCTGGATCGCCGATTCGCCGATCCGGATGGGTTTTTGAGATGCCTGATCTAGGTCACCGATCTGCTTTTTAAACCACTGGTTATAACTTATGAGGTATATATATATATATATATATATATATATATACGTAATAGTATACTAGTACGTCGTACTACTTACTCCTCTACGTAAGGTAAACGGGGGTACGGTACGTACGTACTACGAACGACAACGTAGTCTACG